ATTTCCCCCTATATCCGATTTCTCATAATTCTCACTTTGAAATACTTTACAATTTCTTTTTCATTTTTCTAATGAAAGTTTTGTTATTTGAATTATAAATAGGTTTTTAATATAATATTTTGCCTTTAATGATAAAGAAAGTTTAAAACCTTACTGTAGAACATTTTCGGTCGATCAAAATGTTTGAAAATATATCGAATTACTCGTATTTTAGTACCAAAACATTAATATTATGTAGATTTGCGTTAATATCTGTTTACATATGGCACATTAAAGAATTCTTTCAATAGAAGTTAACTCATTATATATGTGTCTAAATTCCGTGACGCTTGCAGTACTGTTCGCTATATATAGAAGACCTCTTTGACATAGCCTGCGTCGATTAAAGTGTCAGAACTCGATGATCATCAGTGCAGTGAATACCTTGTTGTGCCATTGAGGAAGCAAAATGGTGTTTCCCTACTGGACGAAGGCTTGAAATCAATATGATAGGACTGCGCTTCATAACAGCGGATTTTGTAGTATATGATAGAACAATTATTCATGTAGAGGCATTAATATGCTGAGCGGCTCTCACCTGCAGACTTATAGCACATTATCACCTTCCTCTTCTCGTTCATGCTTGAATTAAGCTTTTCGTATGCATAGATATATACTGCTTGGATAATACCAGATTTTATTACACTCCGAAATAGACTTTGAAACTGAAGCCCGTATTTATCAATTTCATGTAGAATAAGGTATATACAGTACTGTTAGGAATTACGCTAGTATAGATTCAGGTACAGTTCTGATCATTTATGAACTTAATATAAGGTTATTATTAATATTTCTGCTTCGGATTTGTAAGCATGTATAACTGCGCAGGAAGAATTAATGGAGAAACGTTCACTTCGTCTCGCAAAAGTTTATAAGAAATTATTCTTACACTATAAGTTTATGAATGCTAATTTTATGCCTTAGTGTTACCTTGTACTGTGTCTTTTCCCTATTTAACAGCATTTTGAAAATTGTTTCGTTTCAACGGACTTTACGTCCTTATTGCGCAAAAGCATTATAGTAATAAATGTTCATGTTCTGGACTCGCCCCAGCCTTTGTTAAAAATAATCACCAGTAATAACCATGCAGACCGCTAACGATAATAGCGATCTGCATGGTAATAAAAACAGGTTAGGTTGTAAGCATGGGAAAGCACATAAAGTCCATCTACTTATTGGGGAAGGATACCTTCACAAAGGAATTTCTATAGGAAACCGGCTCATATGGGAAAACCGACCATACAATCAGCTCATTTGCCTTGATTCGAGTTATTCGGTATTCAGCGGTCTTTATCCCTTGGACACTGGTAGGACGATAATGAAAATATGGGAGAAAGCTATGAATTTGACAGCTGAAATATTTTTTGCTATTCTGCTGCATATCATATTAAATAATGTGACTATCTGTTTGAGCAGTTGCACCATTTAGAGTTTGGTTTATGCAAATAAATGAAATATATATTTTAGAAATCTTTGAATCTGCCAGGCACTTAACTGGTCGTCAAAGAAAACCGAAGCATTTAATGAAACGTTTCCACTAATTCGTTGCAATAACAGCTTCGTTTCCAGGTATTATAATTATCTGCGTTTTCTTTTTATTCCATAGGATGTTAATGGATTCCTTGAGCTTTTCATCAAGGTTTAGTCTAAAACTTTTTGAAAGAGGTGTTATATAATCAATTATTATAAAGATTTTAACCATTTAACTTTTCATTAATAAACGGATAAAATTTTGTGAAAGGAGCGATCTTGCATGAACGTCATGTATCTCATCGATACAAATCTTAAGATAATTTTAAAGTGCAGTAAAATTCCCCGTTAGACTAAATTTAAAAGAAAACTATGCCTTTCAAGAGAAACTATATCAGATTTTCTTGGTTTATAAGCTGTCATAAACATTCTTTGGAAAATTTTCCACGATTCCTTCTTATAGGCAGGTAACTCATGATTTGTGCCATAGTTAACTAAATAAAAAATTATTTTCCGTACTCATTCATTTCGTCTTAAACATAGCAGTTCTTGTATTTATAGTCGAAATGCCATTAGTGGACGCTCGAAGAATAAACGTTTGTTTCCGCTATCAATGAATATCTACTACATGGTAGAGAAATGGTCTTCTATTTCGAGGGTCCAATGACTTATCAATGAATGCTTACTATTTTTAATAATTTACTATTACACAATGAGATAATAAGAACAAGTAGCTACCTGCAGATAACTCATTTCAGTTTAACTTCGGCTGAGATTGAATCCTGCATAAAAGCTTGCAAATGCACTCCAAGTGTTGTTAGATTCTAAGTGTTGAAAATGCCAATCGTATGAAATAAGAATATATTCTGTTTGTACATGAGGATATGAAAAGTAGCCCTTCTTTGAGAATAGATATCACAGATCACATAGTAGATACTAATAAGCATTGACATCAAATACTCAAATTTCAGCTGCAACATGAGTGCGCGCAGTTTTGTTAGCAGGATGAACAATGCGATGTCAGCAAACAGCAACAGAGATGGCCGTCCTCCTTGATAGCCTATATGAGAAAAATATGTGTTCAGTTACTTGATTTTGTAGAATTGGAGAAGAAAAACTTGCAGATTTTTGTCTAAAGAACTGATCTGCTGAGGGTTACCGTGACCCCGTGAAGTGCCGTTTTGTGGTGTTTACATCTATTAAGATTTCTCTGGCACCTACAGGCATCCAATTTCAATCCTAGTACCTTTGGAAAGTGGAAGATATGATCTCTTCATTGATACCAGTGCTGTGATTGTGAAGTGTTTGTGCGATTTATTACAGTGTTTTTATTGTGCGACATAAAAGTGCCATACTTCTGGATTAATTTGCCCTTATCTCCGGTCTAATTGGGAATATCGACACCATTCCTAGACGATAAGGTAGGCTTTTAGATTACCTTTCTTTTAGTGTATCATTCGTCCTGCTAGCTTAATTAGTGACTGAGTGCCGTAAGTTTTAATTGCAATTTTCCTGTGTGACCTTGTTCTTTCCCCGGTATCCTCACCCGGCTCATTTTTACGACACAGCGGCGGAGGGTCGGTCCAGCAGGACAGGTCGCCTTTTGAACTTGTCGGACAACTCCTTGTCAAGCTTTTCTAGCGCATGCGCGCATAGTAGAGTGCAGTTGCTATAAGTCTTGCACGTGCTTTTGTTTACAATTTGAACTTAGCTGCACGGTACTTAGCCAGCCTCTAGTACACCCAAATTTTTAACCCTGTTCTAGTTTTTCACTGTGCATTTAACTTTTATTCTATTATATTTACTTCTTTTTTATTACTTTATCATCATTATTATAATTTTTATACTTATTTAATTTCATCTTCCTGTGTAAATTTTTGTTTGTGCTTATTTACTGATAGCCATCTATTGTACTCTGTTTCCATACCTTGTTAAGTTCGTTTAGATTTTATTTCTGTATATGCAATTATTCTGTGTATTGTATGCATTATTCTGTGTATTGTATGCATTGTATGAGAAATAGGCTCTGTGGCTGGTTTCTTCACAGCATTCAGTTCCGTACATTTAGCATTTGTGACGGAAATTAATGAGTTTTCTGTAAATTCCATTCACTTCTCATTTACTTGTCACCTTGTACCCGTGCACGCTAACTGTTGGCAGCGCTTTCATTGCACGCACTTATATTTAACTGTATTGCCTTAGATTATGTAACTGTACGCTTTTTATTGTAATTCTGCATATTAACTGTCATTGTCTGCATTATATCATGGTACTAAAATCTACTCTATCTACTGACGAAGATATAACAACGTCGTCTAGCGCCTTAGACCCGACCTCTATCTTAAACTCAGACATAGCTCATGCTGAAAAGGTAGACCTCTTCTACCAGGAAATCAAGAGAGTAACAACTACCTACCGAGGTGGTAAATTTCTGCTCCGAACAGAACTCAGAGAACGTATTCTTACCTCACTAGAGGCTCTACAGAAGTTAGCCCTAGAAGGCCCCGAATACACAGCAAAACCAACAAAAGCCGACACAAGTACCAATACCTCCACTCTCTTCTGCTGCGAATTAGCACATGCAAATAACCAGTATCAAACAGACCAGCAGAGGCATAACGTGTTCGCTGTAGCACCACTGCCTAATCCGATCAGAGGTCCATCCTACGCGGCTGCCGCAGCTAAGGCTAAAGATACTAGTCACATAACTACGCCCCGGCACACACAATAAAATTATATTTACTATATCCTAAGGAAGCCACCTGCTCCACCAGTCAAGACCTTAAGGCTAAACTCAGCCAGGAATTCCCACTCCCCAAGATAGGAGTAAAGGTATCCACAGTCAGAAACATACAAAAAGGAGGGCTAGCCGTTGACTGTCACACGAAGGAGGACCTTGACAAGCTAAAAAATACGCTAAACAGTGCAAAGGGACAAGAACTGGTAGAGACCAAACTTCCCGCCACAAGACTTCCAAGAGTTGCTATCCACAGCGTCCCACATGAAGTCCAGGAACACGAAATAGAACGAGCTTTGGCATCGGAGCACAATGCTACCAAATCAACAGTCAAGATCCTCTACCGCCTCCGAGATAGAAGAAACACAGTTAAATGGGTTCTTGACTGCCAACCTACAGTCTACCAGCGAATCATGCAGGCTCCCAGACTCTACCTCGGCTGGCGGGCATACCGAATTGCAGACTTCTACAACACCAAGCGATGCTACAGATGCCAGGAACTCGGCCACACTCAAAAGGAGTGCTCCAACAAACATTATTGTGCATACTGCACAGAAGAACACGACATCCGTGAATGCCGAGCGCAGCAGCCCGCGTGTATCAACTGCGCAGACTATAACTATAGGGACAAACAGGAGCATCCCCTGCGATCATCCAGCCTATGATGTCAACTGCCCCTCGTACGGAAGATACATCGCTAATATCAGACGCAGTACCAGATACGAGTGATTTGCCACAGCCGCCCACTCAAATAATGCAAACACCAGACATCCAACGAGAAGTTATCAAATGCATCCAGATTAATTTACAAAGAGCAAAAGCCGCCGCGTCACAATTGATCCAACATACAATCAACCATCAACCAGATATACTATTGATTCAAGAACCTTACTGCAGAGCAGGGGAAGTCGCCTGTTTGCCACTCTGTTGGAAAATATTTCAGCGCAAAGCACAACAGAATGAGCCACCACCAAGAGCAGCAATCGCCTGCTGCAACCCGCTCTGGTCCCCGCTGATAATTACACAGAAGCGAGACCATGTAGCAATCCTCCTCAGCTTCTCAAATTCACAGATCATCATTTCCTCCATCTACAGTCTCCCACCGGATGATATCCACCAGACCATCATGAGCATCGAAGAAGTAAAGACAAAGTGCCCCACAACATCACATGTTATAGGCGGTGATTTTAATGCCCACAACATCATATGGGGTTACCCAGCTACCACTCCAAAAGGGCAAGTCTTGGAAGACTACATATTGGCCAGCAATCTGCAAATCATAAACACCCCCAACGCGCCACCCACATTTGACAACACGTACCACCACGGATGGCCAGATATTACAGTGACTACTAATGATATAGCCAATAACCTACAAGACTGGATGGTAGCAGATGAAGAGAGCTGCTCGGACCATCGCTACATACACTTCAATATTGCAAGCGACACAAGGATCAGCATCTTTAAAAGATACAAACTTCCGGGTAACAAATTGCGAATACTTAACAAAGCTTTCTCTCTAACATTACAGCAAGAAGAGCAGGAGCTAAGTCAATACAAGAGCCCCAATGATCTGAACACTTATACCGAGCGGCTGCTTGACACTCTACGGAGCATTTGCGATCAGCACCTGCCCACCAGAGCAGCAAAATGTTTGCAAGGAATTTCCTGGTGGACAAAGGAACTGCGACAGCAACGGCAAAAGTGCAGGGCTTTACGACGTCGCCTTCGCACCAACATTAACGAAACCACCAAGAATGCAATAGTAGCAACCTTTAGGGAGGAAAGAGCGCATTATAAAAATAATATCCTTAAAGCCAAAATAACCAGTTGGCGTAAGTTCTGCACAGAAAATAACAACCCATATGGAATTCTACACAAGCTTGCCACCAACAAGGTCTTTAAGCCGGATCAACTCTATGCCCAAATTGCCAACCAACCCATTACCACCAACATAGCAGAATCCACGGCAGCCACAACCTTAAACACAGTCTTCCCAGCAGACGATCCGGACGATGACACGCCAGAGCAAAGGCACACAAGGGGAAACACCACTATCCCAGAGACTTCAGACGACGAACCATTTGAAATGGAAGAGATCAAGCAAATCTTTCGACAGCTTCCAGTCAAAAAGGCACCAGGTCCTGACGGCCTGGATTATGCAATAATCAAGGTCGCCTTCAACGCTCGACCCACTTACTTTAAAGTTCTGTTTAACAAGCTTTACATTGTCAAATCTTCCCTACTGCATTCAAACAAGGACAGGTCGTCCTGTTTTTAAAAAAGCACAAATCCCCGGAAGATCCAAGATCCTTTAGACCCATATGTCTGTTATCTGCATTGGGTAAGATCTACGAAAAACTGCTAGTCAACAGGCTGAAGCACCATCTATACCGACAAAACTTTCTTAGCCCACATCAATATGGATTCAGGACAGGCACATCTACCATCCATGCTCTAGAACACATTCGAAAACATATAAATGACAACAGAATCAACAATCTACATACTGCATTTATCTCTTTAGATCTTCAAAGTGCCTTTGATACTCTCTGGTGGCCTGCAATAAAGCAGGCCCTCAGGGAGGCAAAGTGTCCAAGGAACCTTTTTAATATCTTCACTGACTATCTCCACTCTAGAAGTCTAATTATAGTCAATAATAACGGTGTCGTCACTAAACAGCAGGAAAGAGGGTGCCCACAGGGGTCATGTGCCGGGCCTCTACTGTGGATAATCACGTTTAATTCCTTATTACAAATCAAATGGCCTACCCATACCAGAGTGATAGCATATGCAGATGATGCGGCATTGCTAGTCTCTGGCCGCACAAGAGAAGAACTCGAACGAAATGGTACGGAAACCTGTTCCATATTTTCAGATAAATGCAGTAGACTTAAATTGATCATTTCCGCACAGAAGTCAACGGCAGTAGTCATCCCACGACCGAGAACTAATCCAACGCGACGGCCGTGTATAAAATTGATGGGACGAAATCTAAAGATCTCAAAAACCATAAAGTATCTCGGACTTACATGGGATCAGGGTCTCACATGGCTGCCCCACCTTCAAGACATCAGAGTCAAGACAGAAAATATAGCTAAGAAAGCCAGACAATTCCAGGGAAGCAACTGGGGGCAAAACCCTCACATCCAGAAACTGCTATATATAACGGTAGCGGAGAGAATTGTTCTTTACGCATCGGCTATATGGGCGCAACCAATGAGCAGTCGCAAAATCAAACTCTTGACAACAATACAACGGCCATTTGCTCTAAACATAAGTAGGGCATGTAGGACAACGGCATCAAGTGCAATAACGGTCCTTGCGGGACTAACACCCCTGCACATAAAGGCCAGCATAGAAGCTGCATATGAGCGCCTAATTAGGCTAAAACAAGATGCCAACTTTGCTGGCACCGCCTTCCATGCAACACAGTATGAATTACCAGGGAGTGTGCAGTATGTGCACCCGGCACACAAAAGTAAAGGCATCCATGTCGTGACAGCACAACACCCAACGCCTCTCAGAGAAACTCCACATGTGAACTCACGATTCTACACCGATGGATCAAAGCATGACAATGGAGTGGGATGCGCCTTTTCGTTCACTTCAAAAATGACCGAGTGGAAAGCAAATGGAAAGGCCATCTCGCTACCCACAACAGCATTTTCCAGGCAGAAGCTGTGGCAATAGCAGCTGCAATTCAGTATGCTCAGGATATCAATCTAGCAGCAACCGAAATTCACACAGACAGCATGTCAGTGCTACAGGCAATCATGAATCACCACCATACCTCACCCACAATTATAGCAATCCAACAGCTCCTGCGTAACAATATGCAAACACACATCAAACTAATCTGGGTGAAAGGACATGATGGCATAGAGGGTAACGAGATGGCAGACCAGTTAGCAAACGAGGCGGCACTCAACAACGACGCGCAAGAGGTGACAACTCCAATCCCGACTTCGTATTTAAAGCGAAAGCTAAGAGAACTAAGCAAAGAACAGTGGCAACAGGAGTGGGATAACTGTGATACAGGAAGAAGGACACATGGATTCTACCCAATAGTAGACAACGAACGTCTCCAGGCCATTGCACCCTTGACATACTATATCACGGGGCACGGCCCATTTCCATCCTATTTTCAAAGACATGCAATTTCGATGACAGATATATGCGTCTGCGGGGCAACTGGCTCCCCCGACCACTACATATTTGAATGCAGCCTTACATCCAACTTACACCTACCACTCCCAGCCACAAATATAGAATCATATAAACGATTCATCATTAAGCACCCACCAGCGGTCAAAAAGATCTGCCAAATAATTAGGCAGGTCAACGACCTAGGGCAAGATATCTGCCAACCAAACTAGCGTCAATTAAGGCGTCTCATAAAGCAACCACAGTCAGCTTTCACTACCAAATCATCAACAGAATTCTGACAGTCTCTTATACTGACAATCAGCTGAATGCAACTTACAATATGTTTAAATTATGTGCTGCGCTTATAACATAACTGCACTGCAACATAACTGCAGACATAGCTGCTTACTGCGTACAGTACTCACTTACGGCGTATAGAGCAAACTACTGACTATGAACAGACTGCTACCTGCATTGTGTCTCTGTAGTAGTTACAACGACTGAAATATCTATAGAAGTATTTCCTGGAATAACCACAGTTATTACAACAACTGCAAGTTATATATCAGTGTATAAGGTACTGTGCGCAGAGTAATTGGAACGCCCTGACAAATCGTGTACAGAACTTATCAACAGTGTACAGAGCTCAACACTGACTAATCACAGGTTACTACTTGCATGTCCATGCTAGTCCATGCTTAACTGAACAGTGTAAAACAAATGTGTATCCGACTTTGCATTGTGTAACCATTCTGTAAGCATTGTGTATATAACAAGCATCATGTATCTATTACAATACTAATATGCACTGTGTATTCTACAACATAATGTTTCTCCTACAGTCATTGCCAGTACTGTATTACACAAACGCGTTATACAAACTATCTGCAATAAATATGCACCTCATTCTGCACTGAATTTGTCAAATTTTGCACAGTATCTGCTGTATATAAAGCATATAATTACTATGCAACTATCTACATTGCGTGTGCATTACCTGCAATACCTTACAACCTGTTGTGTATCTGACTTTGCACTGTGCATTTGTTCTGTGAGCAATGTGTATATAAAAAGTACTGTGTACCTACTTTAATCCAATAAACACTGTGCATCTAATATAATATAAAATAAGCTCAGCGCATTCTATAACATAGTGTCTCCACTACAGTTATTGCCTGCACATCATATCTGTATTACTCAAACTATCTGTATTATATCTGCACTGTATCTGACATATGCATAATGTATAATTCATCTATATCTATCAATATTGTATCTGCATTACCTGTATAATCTCATAGCTTCGCATAGAAATATATAGCTTGGCAACATAGCATGCATGGTGCTGCGTACTATAATTGTGTGTATACAATAGTATAGATTTTTTTTAATGTGTAAGTATAATTGTGTTTATATAATTGTGCACAATTTGTGTTATATACCGTAGTATAGTGTTTTATTCTGCGTTTTAATACGTTAGTATAATTGTGTTTGCATAATTGTACACCATAACTGTGTTGTATATAGTAGTATAGTGTCTTATTTCGTTTGTACAATTGTGCGCAGTATAAATTCTAATATCTAATGCTTTACAAGCATAGTGTATCTGTTTTTACATTGTGTATCAATTCTGTAAGCATTATGTATATAAAAAGCGCTGCATATCTATTCAAATTAAATAAGTATTGTGTACCTGATATAACGTATTGCATAATGTATTCTCCAGAGTAAAGTTTCATCTGTAATTACTATATCATCTAATAACAAAATTTAATATTCTACAGTGTGCCTGCATGCTTTATGTATGTTTATTTGCGCATTTTACATGTGATATGTGATCTAAATGTGTCTAAATGATCTAAATGTGTCTTTAGTGTAAGTGTATACTATATATTAGCTTAAATATGTTTCATTATAAGTATGTGTTTTACTTGTATAAGTGTGTGCAAACTAGTATCTAATTTCTATTTTTATATAATGTGCTTACATGTTTTACATGTGTTATATATGTGTTTTACAAGTGTTTTGTATGTATCTTTATATGTGCAATTGTATGTACTTGTATGTGTATGTATATGCTGTAATTAGTGTCTAACAGTGTCTAAAAACCAAGATGTAACAAATCATCCGCCTATCGATCAAAACTAATGTATTCCTAAGACGCTTCTGTATGCCCATGTACAATTACGTAAAATTCTTCAATAAACTCCCAAGGTGGCCTCACGAGGCTCCTGGGAGTTGCTGCCACTAGATAGGGGAGGGCGCGTGACATATGCCTGTTTACCTCTGTTAAACATCAGGCGTCCCCGTCCTCCGTCACCTGTCACCACCTGTCTAAAGAACTGCTGAGGAAGCTTATCTGTTTGTGTATTCGGAAAAAATTTTTTTTCCTGGAAGACTTTTTAAGGGATACTGGCTCGTATATACCTTACGTAGAACGGAATGTTGTTTCTTAAACTGCTGGAGCGACTCATCTGGTTTATAAGCCTATTAACTCTTAAACACGTATTTGCTTGGCTAGTAATTCTAGAAGAAAAGTGGAAAAGCCGATAGCTAGGTTGCTGGCATTCAATGAAATACACTTTTTCCGGAGGAATTTAAGTGTCACTGAAGAGATAAACATCAACATTGAATATGGTCAGGTGTGTGTGTGTGTGTGTGTGATTATGGCAAAGCCTCGAGGGCTATCTGCCTAAGAGAAAGGATGCCTTCGTGGAGGACTTTCTAAGGGAAACTGGCTCGTATACACGTTACACATGGGGAAAACCACGAAAACGCCCATGCAGCCAACCCGTTCGCGGGATTCGAACCTCGGACCGAACTACCAGTGTTCAGCGACTTTACCGCTCGGCCGCTGGTGGGCGAATATGGTCAGGACTAAGTTAAAAAGTTGGGAAGAATTTTTTAACGCTATTATTGCTCATTTTTCCAATAATAACCTTAATGTTACTATTGTCTGGTCTTCGTAGTTAAATTCTTTCATGCGTAATCTTTTAGCCGTCCATAGTTCTGCACAGCACTTAAAATTTTCTGTAACAATCATAAATTTCAATAATTTATCATTGTTACAGAAAATTTTAAGTAAATTGAAATATACATTTTTCAATGAAAGTAGTCACTTTCTTCGTGGAA